TTAGGCAAATCACGCATGTAACATTCTGTGCATAAGAAAATCACGCATGTAACATGCTGTGCATAGGCAAATCACGCATGTAACATTCTGTGCATAGGCAAATCACGCATGTAACATTCTGTGCATAGGCAAATCATGCATGTAACATTGCGCATAGGAAAATAATGCATGCAACCTTGCTGTGCATACGGGTCAGGATAACACCTGGAAGGTCACAGTTCCCCTGGGGGCAGCGCCCAGCCACATGGTGCGGCCGTTATTCCTGCGTGCCGCCCACTCTCAGGTGGTCCCTCTTGAGAGGAAGGAAAGGTCTCCTCCTCCGGCTGTAATAATGAGGCGCCTCAAAGCTCCACTCTTGAGGCACCTCAGAACCGACTGACCTGGAAGGCCACAGTTTCCCTGGGGGCAGCACCCAGCCACATGGTGCGGCCGCTATCCCTGGGTGCGCCCCACCTCTCCCTCTCCTCCCCCTCCCGCAGCACATGCTGCCGCACCGCCGACCGCACCCCGTCCGTGCCAATCAGCAGATCCGCCTGCAGCACATAAGGGGAGGACAAGGAGCAGTCGCACTTTGAATCGCCTAGAAAAAAAACACACTTCCTCCTTACTCAAGGCTAACAAAATAAGACTTCCTCTTTACTCAAAGCTGACAAAATAGCACTTCCTCCTTACTTAAAGCTAAAAAAATCGCACTTCCTCCCCAAGGCTCTCAAGAAATCGCCCTGCAGCACCTTGGGGAAGGATGAAAAGGGGGAGAAAAGCAAGAGGTGGAGAAAATGCTTCGCTTCGCCTGAGGAGAGCGGTCCAGTGAGTCCGTTTCGACGGAGGAGTGGGAAGAGGTGGCTTGAGGGCATGAAGATGAAACCCACTTTTGAAGCAGGCCAGTATAACCCTTTCACCCACCACTACCCCTTGTAAGCCAAGCCAAGTTTTCCCATTGCCTCTCATCCATCAACTTCACTGGATTCAATTTTGCATGCCCTCCTCATGCACGCCCTCACCATTTTCCCTCACCTTTCCTGCACTGCACTGCACGTGCCCGATCCACCGTGCGAGGCCTAACTAAATGCGACTTGGTTTCTTTGAGTGAAACAGTTCTGCACTCGATTTACTTTTGCAGGGGTAGTTCTTCTCAAGTTCGCACTTCCTTGCGCGGGCAAATTTTTTAGTACTGCCCATCCGACCATGAATGGCGACGAATTATAGGAGCTGACTGCATGCGGCTGTTCCACCTTTACTGCAAGTAACGTGTCGCTCATGTGACCACCTTTTCCCCCCACCTCTGCAGTGAAAGGCTGCCCGTGGCGAGTGAAATGCGCCATCACCCGCCCGTTGGCCTGACATGAGTGAGCACAGGGAGAATCAACGGTAGAAAACGAGGCACAAGTGAACAGAGAGGGACAGCGAGGGACAGAGAGGGGATTAACAGGCAAAAGGGCAGCAGCAAGGCGGAAGGGGGCGGAGGGAGTGGGGGAAGAGAAGAGATGGAGGAGGAAGTATAGACAGAAGGGATGCCTTGCAGGCGTCTAGCTGACTTGACGGGCAGCGCTAAAAAAGGAATACCTTGCCCAGGTAGTGACTGTGACTCTCAGCATTCACGCACCATACTGGCAGCATGGTTAGTAACGAACAGCTGTATTGTTGTGACATAAGCCAGTGCAACTAGCCCTGCTAATTCGCACCCTCGCTGCTGTCTGGCAGCACGGTCAGGAGCGCACAGCTGTCCGGCAGCACGGTCAGGAGCACACAGCTGTCCGGCAGCACGCTGAGGACAGCAGCGCATGCAGCACTTGTGATGTGACTGACGCCCGCCAGTGCAGCTAGCCCTGCTAATTCGCACCCTTGCTGCACGCACCTATTTGGCAGGATGCTCGGGAGCAGCACCTGCAGCATTCTCTATGCGACTCAAGACCCACCTGCTGGACCTGCCGTGAATTCGCACCCCTGGTGCACGCAGCTATCTGGCAGGACGCTCACAAGCCCATGCAGCATCCTTGAGTCGGCCCAGTACCCACCTGCTGGACCTGCCCTGTGAATTCGCACCCCTGGTGCACGCAGCTATCTGGCAGGAAGCTCAAGAGGACGTCCAGAACGAGCCCCCAGCGGATGGAGAGGCGGCCGTCTGCAGGGGCGGTGGACTCTAGCAGCAGGTCGCCTGACGGCGAGACCAGGCACAGGCTGGGCACATGCGCCCCTCGAGACGACAGCTGGGGGGATGGGAGGGAGGTACGGGCAGGAGAAGGGTGGGGGAGAAAGCAGCGCAGAAGAAGAGCAGGTGTGTTGGGAGTGAACTCAAAACAACAGCAGCGGCCGACTGAGGGAGGAGGCGGTGGATTCCAGAAGCAGGTGGCTCGGCATGATGGGGTGGGGAGAGCAGGCACAGGCTGGGCACATGCGCCCCTCGAGACGAGAGCTGGGGGGGTGGGAGAGGCGGGCAGGAGAAGGGTGGGGGAGAGACGGGGAGGAGAAGGGTGGGGGAGAGACGGGCAGGAGAAGGGTGGGGGAGAGACGGGGAGGAGAAGGGTGGGGGAGAGACGGGCAGGAGAAGGGTGGGGGAGAGACGGGGAGGAGAAGGGTGGGGGAGAGACGGGCAGGAGAAGGGTGGGGGAGAGACGGGCAGGAGAAGGGTGGGGGAGAGACGGGCAGGAGAAGGGTGGGGGAGAGACGGGCAGGAGAAGGGTGGGGGAGAGACGGGCAGGAGAAGGGTGGGGGAGAGACGGGCAGGAGAAGGGTCGGGGAGAGACGGGCAGGAGAAGGTGTGCGGGAGAGCAGGTATGGAAATATGAGGCACGGCAGCATGAGGTATGAAAGGATGATAGACGGTGGGGTGCGGCATGGCGGGATGAGGTATGGTGGCATGGCGGGATGAGGTATGGTGGCATGGCGGGATGAGGTATGGTGGCATGGCGGGATGAGGTATGGCGGCGTGAATGGGAAATGGAGGGATGCACAAGGGAACTGAAAGTCACCTGACCTTCACATGATCTAAAAGAACACTGGAGATCATGTCAGCTTTACATTCTAATTCTACCAACGCTTTTTATATGAAAGGGCTGTACCGTGCATCATTATTGTCCGAGTCTTACAGTGGGCATGAAGGCATCGTTTTCCGAAGCCTTTTGACGGGCCTTACAGCGTCAGCAATGGCTCGATCGATGCATGCCAGCGCCGCCAGGCCGTTGGGCTGAACGCCCACCATGCGCCCCACCCTCTCTGGATCGCGCCCTTCCGCCCTCTCATACACCTGCCATGGAGGGAACACTGGAACTATAGACCTCTCGAAATGCCCTCTATATACACCTGGCATGGAGGGGGACATTGGAATCTTAGACCTGTCTATACAACCTCTGTATACCTGGCACAGAGAGCAACGCTGCAAGGCACCAGGTGAGGAGGGAAGTTGCCATCGGATTGGCTTGCTACCAAAATCGCCCGGCCGTCAAACCGTCTAGAAGTTAAACTACCGGGCAGTCAGTCTGACACTCACCTGGACGTCAACTCCCTGCTGGCGAAGAGCAATGGCTGCCGTCAGACCGGCAATCCCGCCGCCCACAATGATGGCATCTCTCAAGAGGGGCCTTCCCGCGAACTTCACTGGGGAGGAACCCTCCTTAAAGCCAGCGTCTGTCTCAGCGAAGGAAGCAGCGGCTGCTGAAACGGCGTCAGGAGAGCTGCGAGAACGACGAAGAGCCGAAAGAAGGCGCTGGCTGCTTAGAGCGAATCGACGACGATCTTCTAGCGAATGCTGCCTGAGGTCGTTAGATTGTCGCAGAAGGTTTTCCGGCAGTCGCTTGCCGTCGCGTGGCTGTCGCCTGAAGCGCGTTATGCAGCTATTATGTGAAATCCCGATATGCGGCGGAAAGGATGAGGCATTTATGAATGGTTGCGACGGGAAGGAGGCGGAGAGCTCTGCAGCTGTTGGGCTTATAGCGAGGATATGGCTGTTGGTCAGATGATGATAACGTGGAGCGGCTCCTCCTAGTTGCATGATGCCGGTACTCTCGAGGTCTGAGGTAGGGGATTCAGTATCCGTGCTTCCCTTTCGCCGTGCCTTGACAAGAAATGCGAGGGCTTAAGAAACGGAAAACGCTAACCAGGCAAAGCGAAGACCGAGACGGAGGCTGTGATGGTGGAAGCACGGAATCTCTGAGGAATGGCTACCGCGTAACACGCGCCGAGGACGAGAAGTCTGCCTTCTAGACAGTGGGTCTGCTGCTGTAGCGCGGGTGGCACATTCGACAGCACAGCAGAGCTCCCCCAGCCGAATCCTCCGATTGCGCGGGGTGAATCATGGGTTTGTCTCACGCAGACATCCACATAACGGACCGGTGCAAGCGTTTCGCTTCGGTACCCTGATGCCACATCACTGTGTTCACTTATACACCTTCCTGCACTATCCACGCAGATCTATAACTTTCTCAACTTACGTGCGTTTGCGGTCCAAGAAGGTGTTTCACGTTCCAGAGCGTTCGAATTTGTTAAACAACGGTTAGGTGGGGTATTGGTCGAAACAGAAGTTTGGGACAGGCCCTTGGTTTCTCATTCATAAGGGCGTGGTACATACGATGACTTTCCAATCATGCGACTCGACCGTACTGTACCACCCGATTTTTAACTAAAGCACTCCAGAACCGTTCTCAAATTTACTTTACCGTTCTTACCGTTCGAACCATACTCCGTTCGTGACCGTATGTACCACGCCCCTAGGGTGTGTCCAGCACGTACGTTTACAATTCACTCAATACGGTTCAATGTGGTGCTCGATGGTCCAACGTGGTGATGTGCGAAAACCGCTTCTGACCGTGATTTATCCTACTGAACCGTGATTTTTGTACAGAAAACGTACGCGCTGGACACGCCCTAAGCACATTCAGATTATCTCAGCCTCCGCTTCAGCTGCTGCCTCCCCCGCGATCTTGCAGCGTTGTCTTGGAGATATCCCATACCTCCTTATCTAGTAGATGTTCCCAGAGCGTCGTACGGTACAGACGCATTACGTCGCGTTCGCGTCGACTAGGCGGCAGTTTGGTAACCCGGTGATTTATTTGGTCAGCAGCGAGCGACCTGAACGTTGATCAGCAAGTTCGGCGGCCGTGATAGCGATCAGCATCGTGTCGATTAGTAGCACGTCGATCAGCATCACGTCGATTATTCACCTTTAACGTTTAGATATCCTTGACGATGACTTAGAAAGATATCGATTACGGTTCTTCAGGCGCCTCAGAAATAGCCGTAAGGTATCCCGATCAGCGTCTCGGCGATGTTTAAGAAGAAGAATTTCCGTCGCAGGCAGGACGACGACGGCGACGACGGCGGCGGCGACGGCGATGCGCAAAATGGCGGAACCACCGCTGCGAAACCCGCGTCGGCTGCCAAATTCCGCGCTGAAAAGGCTAAGGAGAAACCTAAAGCCGCCCCGGCGAGCCTGCTGAGCTTTGAAGCCGACGAGGATGGGGAGGGAGACGACGGCGGGCCGTTCGGCATGGCGATCGGCGGGCGATCGAAAACCAAACCCAAACCGGAATCCAAGTCGAAATCTAGATCGGCAGGGTTTGGCACGGGGCACGGGGATGGGCACAAATTAAGTAGAGATAAAAAAGGCCGGGAAGACAGGAAAGGCAGGGAGGAAAAGAGGGAGGGGGGCAAGGGCGGCGGGGTGGTGGGGGGGGGGCCGTCCGCTGCTGGCGGAGCGTTGAACGTGGTGCCGCAGTCGGGGGAGTACACTAAAGAGAAGCTCGCTGAACTGGCGGTATGTGCACTGGACTCTCGTGTTAGCTGTTGTTGCTCTTTTTTTCCAGGTTATGTCCTGTTTTATACCATCTAATTGACGTCATTTTCGTCTTTTCTCCTCTTCCCCCACCTCCCCATTTTCTCTCCCCCTTCACCTCCTTCTTTCCGCCTTTCTTCCCCAACCACCTCCCCCAGCGCAACACAATGCGCATTGCAGCGCCTTCGTCCGCCTCTAGGCGCACTCCCCCTCCCCCCTCCGCCTCCTCAGCTACAGCAGGCGCAGCCCTCTCAGCCGCCGCGGCCCCTTCCTCTACCGTCACCCCGCCCTCCCTCTCCGAGCCTCTCATCGTGCTTCGGGGGTCGCTCAAGCCTGCAGGCTCGGCCACCGCCGAAGCTGAGGCTGGAACTAGTGGTTCGGGAGCAGCAGGTTCGGCAGGTGCTGCAGGTGCCGCAGCAGGAATGGGAGGCTTGGGAGGAGGCTTGGGAGGAGGTTTAGGAGCAGGATTAAGAAAGGGGGGAGGGAGTTACATCGGCGGCACGTTTATCCCCGATGCTGCTGCTATAGCAGCGGCAAAAGCAAAGAGGGAGAGATTAAGGCAGGCCAAAGCAGCTCCGGATTTTATTCCGCTTCCAGGGAGTGATAGGTCTGACATGGCAGGGGCGGGGAGCATGATGAGGGGGGTGGATGATGAGATGGGGGCGGAGGAGGGGGAGGGGGGAAAGGGGAAGGGGGAGCAGTCGAGCGAGGATGAGGAGGAGGCGTTGGGGGGGAGAGTGGCGTTCGGGGGGGTGTTGGAAGGGGTGAAAGGGAGAGGAAGGGAGAGAGGAGGGCGAGGGGGAAGGGTGAAAGCGGCGGATGGGGGTGGGGGGGTTAACGGGGAGGGGAGAGGGCAGGGGATGGGAGGGGAGGAAGCGGACGAGGAGGAGGAGAAGGGGAACGAGGAGGAGGATGAGGAGGAGGCGAGGTGGGAAGAGGAGCAACTCAGGAAAGGGGTGGGTCGGATGGTAGCCCTGCGAGGAGCTACAGGGGGGAAGGAAGGGGGAGCCATGGGAAAAGCAGGGGGAGCAGATGGGGCGGGGGTTGGTGGAAAGGGGGCAAGGGGGAAAGGTGGGGGGCGGAGTGCAGAGGATGTGTTTTCTGGGGGGATGAGGGGCGCCTGGGGGTACGGGGGGCCAGTGGGGGGGGCAGGGGGAATGGTTGGGGCGGGGTCTATTGTGGCGGAAGGGGACGAAGTGATGAAGTTTTTGAGAGAGGGCCTGGCAAGACTGCAGGTATGTGCTTCCAACGAATATGCTCTTAACAAGTGTGCTCGTCACGAATATGCGTAACGAATGTGCTTTTTCAAGGGTGTGGCTGGCGAGGAAAGAAGGTGGTGTGATAGGAGGGGGGAAGAGAGGGGGAATGGCAGAGCGTGGGAGGCTGAAGGTAAGGAAGGGCGAGGGGGGAGCGAACAGGGTAGGGGGGGCGAGGACAGGGAAGGGGGGAGAGGATAGGGTAGGGGGGAGAGGACAGGGTAGGGTGGAGAGGACAGGGTAGGGGGGAGAGGACAGGGTAGGGGGGAGAGGACAGGGTATGGGGGAGAGGACAGGGTAGGGGGGAGAGGACAGGGTAGGGGGGAGAGGGCAGAGTAAGGGGGTTAGGACAGATAAGGGGGGAGAGGAGGGCAGTCTGGAATGGCGAGATGTGAAAGCGTATGTTAAGTTTCTACTGGCTTTCAACATCAGCTTTCATCCCTCGCTTCCCGATTCTGGATTGCCGTCCTTTCTGGAATGGGCAACCACTGGAATGGATTGCCATCGGCTGCCAAGGGGAACTCCCACGCTTTGCTTTGACTCCGCTCAAAGGAGGCTTTATACCTCCTTTATACCAATCGAACATGTCATCACTCTGCTGAACACACCATCCTGCACCAATGTCCACCGCTCTTCTCCGTTCCTCTCTCTTCTTCTCCCGAAATCCTCACTCTTGTTACCCCCATGCGGCTTCACACACCCCTCACGTCTCATCCTCCCAGGCCTCGCAGTCCAAGGCTGAGCGGGAGGCTCGGGATGCAGAGGATCGGCTGGTGGCGGCAGCAGAGGAGGTGCTAGGACTGGAGAAGGCGATGAAGGGCGCTGAGAGCAAGTACCGATTCGTGCAGGACTTGAGGCAGTACGTGGCCGTGCTCTGTGACTTCCTCAAGGTAAGTGCAGAGTGGCACTGCACAGTAGCGCCTCACATAAGTGGAGAGCAAGTGCCGATTCGTGCAGGACTTGAGGCAGTACGTGGCCGTTCTCTGTGACTTCCTCAAGGTAAGTGCAGAGTGGCACTGCACAGTAGCGCCTCACATAAGTGGAGAGCAAGTGCCGATTCGTGCAGGACTTGAGGCAGTACGTGGCCGTTCTCTGTGACTTCCTCAAGGTAAGTGCAGAGTGGCACTGCACAGTAGCGCCTCACATAAGTGGAGAGCAAGTGCCGATTCGTGCAGGACTTGAGGCAGTACGTGGCCGTGCTCTGTGACTTCCTCAAGGTAAGTGCAGAGTGGCACTGCACAGTAGCGCCTCACATAAGTGGAGAGCAAGTGCCGATTCGTGCAGGACTTGAGGCAGTACGTGGCCGTTCTCTGTGACTTCCTCAAGGTAAGTGCAGAGTGGCACTGCACAGTAGCGCCTCACATAAGTGGAGAGCAAGTGCCGATTCGTGCAGGACTTGAGGCAGTACGTGGCCGTTCTCTGTGACTTCCTCAAGGTAAGTGCAGAGTGGCACTGCACAGTAGCGCCTCACATAAGTGGAGAGCAAGTGCCGATTCGTGCAGGACTTGAGGCAGTACGTGGCCGTGCTCTGTGACTTCCTCAAGGTAAGTGCAGAGTGGCACTGCACAGTAGCGCCTCACATAAGTGGAGAGCAAGTGCCGATTCGTGCAGGACTTGAGGCAGTACGTGGCCGTTCTCTGTGACTTCCTCAAGGTAAGTGCAGAGTGGCACTGCACAGTAGCGCCTCACATAAGTGGAGAGCAAGTGCCGATTCGTGCAGGACTTGAGGCAGTACGTGGCCGTTCTCTGTGACTTCCTCAAGGTAAGTGCAGAGTGGCACTGCACAGTAGCGCCTCACATAAGTGGAGAGCAAGTGCCGATTCGTGCAGGACTTGAGGCAGTACGTGGCCGTTCTCTGTGACTTCCTCAAGGTAAGTGCAGAGTGGCACTGCACAGTAGCGCCTCACATAAGTGGAGAGCAAGTGCCGATTCGTGCAGGACTTGAGGCAGTACGTGGCCGTTCTCTGTGACTTCCTCAAGGTAAGTGCAGAGTGGCACTGCACAGTAGCGCCTCACATAAGTGGAGAGCAAGTGCCGATTCGTGCAGGACTTGAGGCAGTACGTGGCCGTTCTCTGTGACTTCCTCAAGGTAAGTGCAGAGTGGCACTGCACAGTAGCGCCTCACATAAGTGGAGAGCAAGTGCCGATTCGTGCAGGACTTGAGGCAGTACGTGGCCGTGCTCTGTGACTTCCTCAAGGTAAGTGCACAGTAGCACCTCATAGGAGGGTACAGGGAAGCTGGGTGGTGTGCGCGCTAGAAAGTGCGGCAATCGAGGCTGCTGGAGTCCCTGAAAACCAACACAACCACATCTACTGCACCCCTCGCTCACCCCCTCAAACCCCCCACCCCCCTCTTCCCCCCTCCCTCTTTTCACATCAGAACAAGGCGGCTCTGATAGAGGAGCTGGAGGAGTCGCTGCAGCAGCTGCAGGATGTGGCATGTCCCACACACATATATCCTCTTCCCCCTCCTCCCTCCCTTTCCTCCTCCCCACATCAGGACAAGGCGGCCCTAGTAGAGGAGCTGGAGGAGTCGCTGCAGCAGCTGCAGGAGGAGCGTGCCAATGCAGCGTTCGACCGGCGCCGCGCTGACCTGGCGGATGAGCTGGCGCAAGCGGAGGCTGCCACGTCAGCAGCAGCAGTGGCAATGGCGCAGGGCGCCGGGACGGTGACAGCAGCTGCAGCGGCGGCAGCGGCGGTGGAAGCGGTGGTGGAAGGGGGAGGGGAGGGGGCAGGGGGGGTTCAGCTGGATGAGTTTGGGCGTGATGTGAACCTGCAGAAACGGTGAGCGTGGGGAGTATAAGGTGAGCGTGGGGAGTATAAGGTGAGCGTGGGGAGTATAAGGTGAGCGTGGGGAGTATAAGGTGAGCGTGGGGAGTATAAGGTGAGCGTGGGGAGTATAAAGTGAGCGTGGGGAGTATAAGGTGAGCGTGGGGAGTATAAGGTGAGCGTGGGGAGTATAAGGTGAGCGTGGGGAGTATAAGGTGAGCGTGGGGGAGTATAAGGTGAGCGTGGGGAGTATAAGGTGAGCGTGGGGAGTAATATGTGAGCGTGGGGGGGAGTATAAGGTGAGCGTGGGGAGTATAAGGTGAGCGTGGGTGGGGAGTGGTGCGTGAGTTGCGATTTGAGCCCAGTGGTGGCTGAGGTGCTGGTTGCAGTGGTGGCTGAGGTGGGGGTTGCAGTGGTGGCTGCGGTGGGGGAAGGGGAGGGGAGGGAAGGGGAGGGGCGAGGGAGAGTGCAGCTGGATGAGTTTGGAAGAGGTGTGAACCTGCAGAAGCTGTGATAGTGCTGTGGGTATGCGAGTGGTGAATCCATGGGGTGGGGAGGAGCTGACACAGGGTGGAAAATCTGATGAGCCAAGGGAGGGTGGAAGTGGCCGTTTGTGCGAGTAGCGGAGGCGTGGTGGGTTCATGAGGGTGGGTGGGTGAGTGCTGCCTGGTGAGTGGTGCCTGGTGAGTGGTGCCTGGTGAGTGCTGGGTGGGTGGCGCATGATGGGGTGCATGATGGGGTGCATGATGGTGTGCAGTGTGTGTTTTTTTACCTCCCACCCACCTTGTTGTGCCATGCCCATTTTCCTGCCTCCATCCCGCATCCCCCTCCCGCCATTCCCACATCCCCCTCCTGCCATTCTCCCATCCTCCTCCCTCGTCTTTCATCCCCCTCCCTCCGTCACCGTCCCTTCCGCGGATACCGCAGGGCCTCTTCTTCCATGCATTCGCATGCCCCCTGTCCCCCTCTGTTGCCCACCACCCTCCCTCTTTTGCACCCCATACTCGCTCACTTCTGAACCGCTCTCTGTCTGGAGTTCAAGCAGCGGATGGCAGCGAGGGAGAGCAAGGCCCCTTCTTCCATTCATTCACCTGCCCCCCGTCCCCCTCCCTTACACCTCGCATTCCCTCGCCGCTGTTCTCCAGTCTGGAGTTCAAGCGGCGGATAGCAGCGAGGGAGAGGCGACAAGCTAAGGCCGAGGCGAGGAGGGCTGGGCGCGGAAGGGGGGAGCGCAGGAGGTGGAGGAGGAGGGGGAGGAGGAGGGAGGGTGGAGGGGGAGTGGAGCAGCGAGGAGAGTGAGGATGAGCGGAGTGCGTATGACTCGGGCAGGCGGGAGATACTCACTGCTGCTGGTGAGCCTTAACGTTCTTGTCTCAGGTGCTGCAGCTACACACAGAACGCGACATCAACGTCAGTTTCTCACAGCTGCTGCTGCTGAGCAGCACGTGGCAGCACGGGCCATGCTGATGATCATCCACTTGCGTCATCGTTTTGGGGTGCCTCAAAAGTCAGCTCGTCCATGGCATGAGCATGATGCCCGTGCTGATGATCCACTTTTAAGCCGACTCAAAAAAAATCTCACAGCTGCTGCTGCCAGGTTGTTTGTCCGTGGCATGAGCATGATGCCCCTGCTGCTGATGATCCACTTGCGTCATCCATCACCCTCCCCTTTCCCTCCCTCCCGTCCCCCTCTCCGTACCTCCTTCTCCGGGACGCCATATTCTGGGATGCAGCGGAGGACTACAGCAGAATAGAGCGAGTCACGCAGCACATTAGGGGTGGAAGCAGCACCACCCATCACTGCATCGGGGCACCTATGCCAGCCTCTCAGCCCCTTCCTTCTCCCGTGTTGTTTCCCCTGCACATGCTATCTCGCAGATGCCATATTTGGCGATGCAGCGGAGGACTATTCGAAGATAGAGAAGGTCAAGCAGCGCATGGAGGGGTGGAAGCAGCAGCACCCAGCGGCCTACCGGGACGCCTATGCCAGCATGTCAGCGCCAGCTCTGTTTGCTCCCTTTGTGCGCCTGGAGCTGCTCAGATGGGACCCGCTGTTTGGAGGTGGTGCGTTCGACTCCATGCACTGGTGGGTCTGATTGCGGTGGGTCTGACTGCCAACCATGCATGTACGCAAGTCTATGCATGCCTATGCCAGCATATCAGCCCTGGCGCTCTTTGCTCCCTTTGTGCGCCTGGAGCTGCTCAGATGGGACCCCTTGTTTGGAGGTGGTGCATTCGACTCCATGCACTGGTGGGTCTTGGGTTTGTTAGACTCTGAAGAACAAACGGGAGGAGGAGAGGCAGGAACAACCATCAGCTCTGTTTGCTCCCTTTGTGCGCCTGGAGCTGCTCAGATGGGACCCCTTGTTTGAGGGTGGGGCCTTTCACTACGTGCACTGGTGAGGTGAGGTGTGAGTTAACTTGTGCCAGCATGAACACACATCAGCCCCGCCCCAGCCATCTCCCTCTGTGCGCCTGGAGCTGCTCACATGGGACCCCTTGTTCCAGGGAGGGATGTTCGACTCCATGCACTGCTGAGCTTTGAGCCTTGCAGGGCAGGCGTTTGCACTTCAAGCAGAGTGAGGAATGTTGCTTTGAGCCTTGCAGCGTGTTTGCATGAGCACAATTCAGCCCGCGGCGCTGTTTGCTCCCTTTTTGTGCGCCTGGAGCTGCCGCGCTGGGATCCCTAGTAAGATGCTGGTGCCTTCAACCAACTCCATGCACTGGTGGGTCTGGTCTGAGTGCAAGCCTAGTGAATGCCTATAATCCCTATGCGGGCCCATGCCAGCCCACGCAAGCACATGCAAGCCTTAGCCAGCAGCATGGCAGCTGCCGCCCTTTTTGCTCGCTTACTGGACCTGCTGCCATGGGACCCCCTGTTTGACAGACAAGCGTTCGACTCCATGCACTGGTGGGTCTGGTCTGACTGCAAGCCTTGTGAATGCCTACAAATAAACCCCACGCAAGCCCATGCTAGCCCATGCTATCCCATGCTAGCCCATGCTAGCCCATGCTAGCCCATGCTAGCCCATGCTAGCCCATGCCGGCATACCAGCTGCCGCCCCTGTTTGATTTGAAGAACGGGCATGCGACTCCATGCACTGGTACGTAGATCTGGCTGCATGGCAAATCGGTGAGGACTACGCTGATTCGCCTTGCAAGGGGTTGGGGGGTCCCATCGCAGCAGCTCCAGTAAGGGTGAAAATAGGGCAGGAGCAGCTCCAGCTCCATGCACTGGTAGGTCTGACTGACTGCAAGGCGAATCAGCAAGGTACTCCATCCGTCCTCTATCAGTGAGGACTACACGGATGCATCACGTTCTTTCTTAACTCACCGGCCAATCTCCCTCCTCTTTCCCCCCGGCTCCTCCACCCCTCCTTGCTTCTCCGCCAGATCCACGGTCTCCCTACAGATCCTCGTTGACTTTGACCTTCCCTACACATCCTCGCTGACTTTGATTTGATCTCCCCACAGATGGCTCGTTGACTTTGATTTGATCTCCCCACAGATGGCTCATTGACTTTGATTTGACCTCCCCACAGATGGCTCGTTGACTTTGATTTGACCTCCCCACAGATGGCTCGTTGACTTTGATTTGACCTCCCCACAGATGGCTCGTTGACTTTGATTTGACCTCCCCACAGATGGCTCATTGACTTTGATTTGACCTCCCCACAGATGGCTCGGAGCCTGCTTGACTCGCGATCCGCCTCCAAATCACCTTACATCCTCTAAACCCGAAAACCCCCTTGGTTATGGTCACATAAGTCACCTTAAACCCGTTTTGGTATCGTGAACCTCCTTTCTTTTCCCACACTCAGGTACTCCGTCCTCTTTGACTATGGTCTCCCGACGGACGGTTCCGAGCCTGCCCGGGATGACCCGGACACGAACCTGGTGCGGAGGCTCGGGGAGAAGGTCGGGCTGCCGACCCTCCACCACGAGCTGGAGCACTGCTGGGACCCCCTGGACTGGGCAGCTAGCACCCTCCACTCCCCACTCCCCACTCCTTACCCTTCCCCTCTCCCCCCCTCCTCCCCCTTCGTCCCCCCCTTCCCCTGACTTTCCCTCGCCTTGTTTCCCCATTTGATAGGTACTCGGTTCTGTTCGATTACGGGCTCCCAACTGACGGGTCCGAGCCTGCCCCAGACGACCCGGACACGAACCTGGTGCCGAGGCTCGTGGAGAAGGTCGGGCTGCCGATCCTCCACCACGCGCTGGAGCACTGTTGGGACCCGCTGGACCGCGCCGCGACCAATCGCGCGGCGACAGCTGTCGAGGAGGTGCTGGTGTACGTGGAGGCGGGGGCGCCAGCTGTGGTGGAAATGGTGAAGGCGGTTGAGGGACGGATGGAGGGGAGTGTTGCAGAAATGAAGGTACGTTTGAGGTATGCAAATAGAACACCGGCAGGCACTGCTGTCTGGCAGCTGTGAGAAGCCGTGCTGGTGTATGTGGAGGCGGGCGCTCCTGGTGTGGTGGAAATGGTGAAGGCAGTGGAGGGACGGATGGAAGTTGCTGCTGGGGAGATGACGGTGAGTTGTTGGGTTGCAGAGCAGCTGACAAAGACTAGCTTAACGTATGGCAGTGCTGACAGGTGTGGAGGAGGTGCTGGTGTACATGGAGGCGGGGGCGCCAGCTGTGGTGGAAATGGTGAAGGCTGTGAAGGGACGGATGGAGGGGAGTGTCGGGGAGATCAAGGTGAGTTGATGTTTTGAAAAGGCTTACATATGTTGGATTGGGGCAAACAACGGGAATGTTGTCTGGCAGTTGTGGGGCGGGTGCTGGTGTAAGTGGAGGCGAGGGCTCCTGCCGTGGTGGAAATGGTAAAGTCTGTGGATGGTGAAGGCTGTCGATGGTGAAGGCTGTGGATGGTAAAGGCTGTCGATGGTGAAGGCTGTTGATGGTGAAGGCTGCAGGGTTGCTCTTTTGTTTGCCTGTCGTCCCCCCTCTCCCTGTCAGCTGATCACAACTAAGTTCTACCAGCATCCCCCCCAACCGCCCCTCCCTTTCTGCGCTTGCTGCTTGTATCACTGTGTTTCACGTGATTCGATCTTTTCCCATTCCCCATGCTTTCCCCATCCCCCCGTTCCGCACCCCATCCCCTTACTCCCCACCCGCCCAGGTCCCAGCGTGGCCGCCCCCTGTGCTGGCTGCCTGCCCCTCCGCTGCTCGGTTCGCGGCTCAAAGATTCGGACAGGCTTTGAGGCTCATCCACAACATGGGCAGGTGAGGGTTGAGGTAGTCTCATTGGCCTCTAGCTTTCCTCTTTAGTGCCCCGCTCAGGTGCTTGTTCAGGCCCGTTCGCAACCAGGGCAGGTAAATTTGTCAAAAGCAGGCTGTAGGATACAGTCTCACGGCTGCAACCTCCCACAACACCTCCACCTTCGCCACTCCTCCCCCTCCCCCTCCCCCCTCCGTCCCCGTGCCGTGTCAACAGATTACGAGAGGTGGTGTCTCAGCCACTCCTGGACCGGCTCGTGCTGGGCTCGCTTCTGCCCAATCAGCTGCTGCCACATCTACGCACCCTCACCCCGTCGCTGCACGACGCTGTACCCCGTACAGAGCGACTCGTTTGCGTGCTGTGCGACGGCAAGTGGGCGGGGACGGGCAGCGGAAGCGCCTTGCCACCCTCAGCGGAACCTAGGAACAGGTGAGAGCATGTGGTTCAACAGACCGTAACCACCATATAGATACCATAAGAACCTGATTCTTTAACATTAGCAGCAGGATCAGATGATGTGGGCCTGCTGTTGCTGTTCTTTTGCTGGTGAGAATTTCTAAATTACAAGCACATGTGTTTTTGGACTAGTCAACCTGAACGCGACACTCTTTTTTGTCAAACCTCAAACCCTAAACCCTCCCTTCTCCCCTGCAGCCCCAGGTCCCCGCTGTCGCAGCTGGTGGCTTATGTTGAAACGCTGGGTCGCTCTGTGGAGAGTCGAAGCGCAGTGGAGGGGCAGAGGGAGGAGTGCGTGATGCTGGCGAGGAAACTCAAGCGAATGCTGGTGCAGATGGAGGAGATGGACAAGGCGAGAGGTCTAGCCAAGGTGTTCGGAATAAAGGAGGCAGTGTAGGTTCAGAGGAGGCAGTGCATGTGCATGGCACGGAGTGTGCGCTACTAAATGGGAGACTGAAGGAGAAGGCTGCAGGTGCAGATGGCAGAGATGAACGAGGCAAGAGCTCTGCCCAAGTTGTTTCGCTCAAAGGGAGGTAGTATACTGGATGCGGGTGTGCGGGTGTGGTGCTCGCAAGGAGATTGCCGTAGATTTGCAAGTGGGCGAGATGGATAAGTTGAGAGCACTTGCCAAGCCAAGGTACGTGGTTGACATCAAAGAATTGCAGTAATTAGCAATTTGGTATTCCATTTTATCCAGATAATGCATCTGGTGATTTATGCTATGCTATGTATCATGTGAATACCTAGTCAGTCATGTTTAGTCTGCAAACATTACTGCAGACTAATTGATACAGATACTCTGCCTGGGTTCATTCACGATTCTCCCTGTGATGACTGTCAAAGCTGTCACAACACCTTCATTGTGACATTCTCACCCTTCCCCCACCATAGAAACACACTGCCGTACATGTGTAAGAGTGCGAGACAGTGCAAGACTGCATTACAGCCTCCACACGCCAAACTACTTGATCTCAGCGCACTGCCTGGACCCAGGCCAGAGTCCTCCCTTAGGCAGTGGTCGATTGCGATCACAGCAGTTTCTGTCGTCACATCCTCGCCCTTCTCCCTCCAAACAGAATGCATAGCGTCACTTCTGCAATCTAGTGCAATACATTGCAACCGTACATCAATTGACCCAATCACTTGATCTCAGCGCACTGCCTGGGCCCAGGGTCCTCCCTGAGGCAGTTATCAATGGCGACCACAGCCGCCTCTATGGCGACATCTTCGCCCTTCTCCCTCCAGTAGAACACATTGCCGTACTTGCCGGCTAGCCGGCTCCAGAAGCTTCTTGGAACCGACAGGTCCACGGTTGAGCCAACATTGAAGTTGAGGAGGTTACCTGAGATTCCGCAAGGGAGAGAGGGTTGGAAAAAGGATGGAGATGGGGGGAATTGGAGAACAAGGAGGTTGAATGGATGGTGCTGGCTTTAAGGGCGGAAGTGTAGGTGCTGTCATGTTGATCAATTGTGCAAGCAGTCAATTTGTGCTGCCAGTGCTTGCAGGCACGTTGATCAACAACTCAGAATGATCTCACCCATGTTGGGATCCGCCACCAACTCATCAATCTCGGGAGCATGAAGTGAAATCAACGGTTGGGATGCACTCACCCATGTTAGGGTCAGCCACGAAGACGACGGTCTCATCATCCACGCCCCAGTAATCCCGGATGGCCAATCCTGCAGTGGCCGACAGCAGGGGAGGGAAAGGGAAGATTTGAGTCAACTAGAAAACGCCCCGGTAATCCCAGATGACCAACGCTGCAGTGGTTGACAGCAGAAGAGGGAGGGGGGAAAAAAGAGACTGCGAAGTGAGTGGGAGGCTGGTATTAAAGCGGTTCTCGAGAGCAACTTAGTTTAGAGCGATGGTAGCAAAATTCCCAGCATAAATCTTGGGAAAGCGTTATTTCTTTCCTATGCTGTAGATTTGCAATTTACCCTGTGTGTTTAGATAATTCTACACGTGTCCTATATTTCAACTCTGTGACCTGCTCCATCCAACCTCATGCAGAAGTGTTACGGTAAAAAGAAATGTACCTGGTGTGTTGGGGTAGTTCTGCGCCAGTATCCTTAATTTATAACCTGTATCCTGCTCCAATCGCTCCACATCCTTCGCCAAGCGTTGCTCCTGGGAGAGGTTGAGGAACACCAAACGGGAGAGAACGAGGAAACGGGGGATAATGAAGAGTTAGACAGAGAAAGTTTAACAGTGAAGGAATATTAACATAGAAAAGTTTAACATAAAAGATAAATTCCTTCAATTGTTACATCAGTTTCACACACCGTTGGGCCAGAACATCACTGATAATCTAGCATACAGAATTTATTAAATGGTATCAATACTGGAAAGATAGCTTATCATCTTCGCATACACGGATTTTATTTCGCCAATCACCCTTGCCATACGGCCACTGTGTAGTCACTCACCTGGCCGGAAGAGAGGAACATGTGAGACGCCAATGACTGTCCTGAACTCCTTGGAGCGCGCTCTATTACACTGAAATGTCAGCACAGTACCGTGCCCACATATCAACAGCACTCATGTGGACGGCTAGCCGTCTCACCTGGCTGGGGGACAGGAACCCCGCAAAGTCAATGACGGTCGTGAACACCTTGGGGAGTGCTCTACTACACTGACATGTCAGCAGCACCAAGCCGTCTCACCTGGCCGGGGGAGAGGAACCCCGCGACGTCGATGACGGTCGTGAACTCCTTGGGCAGCAGCTCGGGCTTGTTCACCCCCTCTGGCCTTGCCTCGGCAATCCCGAGGCCTGTAGGAATCGCAGGGGTGGGGGGATGGGAGTGAAGATGGTGCTTACAGAAACGAGAAAGCCACGCCTTGACACACGATGCGACAATGCGACGATGCGATAATGCGACGATGCGACAATGTGACAGTGCGACAATGTGACAATGTGACAATGCGACGATGCCACCGCCGTGACATCATGTCGGCCGCCCGTCAGCAGGTAAGACAGCCCTCTTGCAGATTGTAGTTGATGTTTTCGAGGAATTTAAAAGCGAGTCTGCTGGAAGGTCGCGCCCTCGCGTGGAGACGTATGACGTGTGAAAGCAATAGCTGCTCATACAGTGTTCCCCACGGATCGACGGGCCACGAGGTGATATGCTGAGCTATTAGGCAACGGGGTCACACAACGGGTCCGCACGTGTCCGCATTCGGACCCACCATTCAGCTGAAATGTCTCACAATTAGTTTAAAGCCCTGGTTCCGGATTGTCCAAAAGTTACGCAGTTGAACGGGGGGGTGGGGGGGGGGGAGTTTGGTTGGATAGCGAACCCCAAAACATTTTCGCCAACCTCCGTGCCCCGAGTAAAAAGTTCGCTACACCGCTTCAAGTGTTTAACAAACCCCCCTTTTTGGACAATCCGGACTGCGGGCTTTAACGAAGGCGTTACCTGCCGACAGGGCGACGGCGACGCTCGCGGACGTGGCGACGAGGAATTTTGCGGATTCTTTGGCCAGCCTCGCTGCTTCTTGTTTCAAATCAGCTCCTCCCCTCGCGGAGGCGTCTTGATGCGACGGAGCCTGCGAGCGTGCACGAATGGACGAAATCTGTCGCACTCGTAACAATTTCGTGTATGGACGATCAGCAGAGCGGCATATTCCTTGGGAATGCATCACGCTGAGAGACACACGCTGATTTTTCAACGACGAAGGGATGGTCACGCCGCGAATTCCGGTGGCTGCAGCCATTGGTCACGCAGAGAGCGAGGGAAATGGCTGCCGGGAGGATGTGAAATGAAATGACAGACGCGTGAATGCCCAAATCGTTCAACACGATGAAAACCAAATGCTTGGTTGTGTTCTTCGTTCGGCACATGGAAAGAACGCATTGGACTGGAACCCCCTGGAGGAAGACCCGTTGAGTTTCCCTGAGCTGTTTAGCCCGATACGTAACAGCTACTCGATTCTCCTGCGATTTAAAGGGTTAGATGGTAAACGACACTTCTTCACCGTGAGTGAAGCCCACACACTGTTCATTCGAGTGTAACCGACTTTCGACGGGAGTCGTTTTCCACAGACTTTCAGCCGCGGAATACGATAATCTGTAATGCATACGATGCATTTCCAAAACAGCTACCGCGAGATTGTTAGGCAGGGTATCCGTAAGCAGAAAAATTTGAGCAGTGTTCACGTGGCAAGAAGCTAGCCCTATGAATGCAGTCAATGTTCGTCGTGTCGTGCCACGGACCACAGAGGTGACGATGGCGTTTGCTGAATCTGACTCGGCAGCGGGACCTAGAGATGCCACGAAAGCTGAAAAGCTCGAGACATACGTGGCACGAGCTCCTCCAAATCTCAACTTTGCTAGTGGCTGTACACCACATTCAACAAAACGCCCTTATTCATAAGGGCACACCCAATCTCTCGATTCCGCCATCTAAGCACACTCTTGTAAGGGTGAAAGTGCATTTGACACCCTCAGATGACAAAAAGAAACACACAATCAAATGACTAGAAGAATAGCGAGCAATTGAAGTAGTAGCTTATGAGGAATACATGGCAATTACAACTCAAGAAAGGATCGCTCTACAACAACTGGGGGTATACCTCCTCTCGCACCTTTGAATCCCCTCTCATCCTCGCAACCACCGCCTCCGCCCCATCCTTCCCTATCCTTCCTCCGAACCCATCCCCACACACTTCCCCCCCATGACCCTTGAGACTCGCCACTAGATCCTCCCCCTCCACCTTCACCACATCCCTCCGTACCCCCACGTCCAGAGCCACTCGACTGAGGCTGTACGACCCTGCATACACAGGAGTAGCCAGAAAAACAAGGCAATTAGAAACAAAGGAGAAGGCTGCACAAGGAGATTAAGAGCCACTCGACTGCGGCTGTACTACCCTGCTCACATAGCAGCAGCCGCTCTATGAGAATTCTGGAAAATTAGCTGCACCCAGCACACCGCAGCAGCCGCCATAACAAGGACACCATCAGACAGAAGCAGGGGCAAGGCGCCCAGTCAGGCACAGCAGCTAAAGATACACCTTCCTTCCCACCCTTCCTGACTCAGCCTTGCAAGTCCCATCGCCTCCCATCTCACCTGCGAAAACAGCAGCAGCCGCCAGGAGCCCTGCCAGCACCAGGGGGATGGCAGCGGTGGCAGAGGCGAAGTTGAACCCAACGAAAGCAGCGGACTGGCCACTGGTGCCCACGCGTGTCTTGTCGAGAACCAGGGCTCGGGTCTTGCAGTACACAGCAAAGTCCTCACAGTTGTTGTCGAGAACGTGATAGCGGCCAAACCCCTCTCTCAAAAGCAGACGTGCTCTGCAGGAGAGGAGAAAGTGGGAGTCGAATAAGTTAATTACTGACAAGACGAGGGCACATCGGTAGCAACCGCTCTCAGTTGTTGTAAAGCATACAAAAACGGCCAACCCCTTGCTCAGTTGTTGTCCAGCACGAAATAACGGCCAACCCCAGTCTCAGTTGTTGTTGCAGTGACTAGCACACTTGACCATACCTCTGTACAACAGCATGCGGGGGATCAGACACCGCCATGCTGCATGTGCCACCTCGCATCTGCAGACAAAATCCGCCCACCGACACGCCGTAATCAAATCTGTACAGCCCACCCCCGTGCATGAAGCACCGCAGGCAGGACAAGATCACGCCATGGCTGCTGTCCTCCGTTCCACAGGCTCGGCACGGCGCCGGACCTGAACCTCCAGGACCGGCAGCAGCAACACCAGGAGCAGCAGCGGTGCTGGTTCGTTGGAGGGCGGGCGAGATGGAAGCAGCATAGTCTATAAGGGCGTTGGAGCCTACTTCGTCTGCCTGCTGGCGTGTGAAATGGATCACCTCGTCTGCACCCACGTACACTCCTGGGGGAGAACGGCAGGGAGGACAGCAGGAAGCGGCAGCACAGACTATGAAGGCGCTGGAACATACTTCGTCCGCTTGCTGACAAGTGGATAACTTCATCAGCACCTGCGCAGACTCCTGATAGGAAGACGCAGGGAAACGAGGAGAAATTGAAAAACACTTTCGCATTTCGCATCGAGAATATTGAAAGAACTGTCCTGGTTCCAGTGTTATGATACTTGGATTTGATCATGATACTAAAACTATATCATAATGTAACGGATGAGCATGATGTTGCAAACAGCAGTCACGACACTGTCTGACTGTAGTACCATGTGGCTTAGACAACCACGACACTGTCTGGCTGCATGCCCCATCACCATGATTCCGCGATCCTCAGCCTCCTTTGCAGCCACTATTGCCATGAGTTGCTTACGCCATCATTACCATGGTGAGAATACGACATGCCAATCCGCCATGAAAATATGTGATCACCCGCCTTGAGCTCCTCCCTCCTCACTTCCCCAGGATGCCACAACCCTCCCACACCGATCGCCATGCTTCAATCGAGCCCGCTTTAAGCAACCACACCGATCGTCATGCTCCCGCCAGCGAAGATACGATGGCGTGATAGAACCTTACAGAGTATGCATGTATGCGTGGTTCTCTATGCGTACAACAAGCCTCTCTATATTTACAACATGCGTGCTTCTTCACGCCCAAGCTTCGCTAAAAAATATTCAGCATAGCGAGCCGAAACCACTACGGTTTACGACGGATTAATACGACGACGACGCAGAGCCAGTCATAGCAAAGAAAATTCATGCATGTTCGAAAGTGCGAGCTCGGGAAGCGACCTAGCAGCTCAAGAAATGAGCATTACTGCGCCACGACTGGCTACACCGTTTCCTAAACTGCAGGGAATTAGGTTGGCGGCTGCAGGCGGCTGTCAGTACAAGGCGACGGCATCGAGGTTATGACGGACGCTGTATGGGCTCTGCTGCTGACAATTGCTGACAGAGTTGTGGAGTGACCTCGATATGATACGCCGATTGTCCGATATTGTGAGCCATCGTATGGAAGAGTACACTACTAGGTAACACTTCCAACCAACGGGACATGTTTCATTAGATTAATCACTTCAATCACCCCATGCAAATAAGGACACCAAACTTCATGAACGACGGAAATTAATAATGCACCAATAATTATTTTCACTGACAAAAAATACCCCCCTAATGCAACGGCTACTACTAGGCACGAGTGACTGAAAAATTTCAGCTGGCATGTTCCTTCCAAATCCCTGTCTTTCCCAGTAACTGGGCTTTCTCCCAGTAACTCTCCACCTCCAGAATCCGTGATTTCTAGCAGCAGCTTCCCCTCCCCATACCAGAATCTTTGATTTCAGATGAACTTCCCTTACACCAGTAACTGCTGTTGCTGTAAGCTGCTGCCAATCTAACCCCATCATCAACTGGCCCATTCCCTCGTCCCTCCAGAGCATGCACGTGTCAGCGAGCGATTTTCTGTCAGCTACTGTGTTTGGTCGGCAATGCTAGAGGCTAGAGCGGACATCAGCCTTCGATGCTGACATCAGCAGCTGCGGCTGCCATCCCCCAGAGCTCGTAGGAAATCCCTGATCATATCCTTCCCCTAGATGAGGTGGCGCCATCCCAGCTGTTCATTCTGCCACATGTCAAACAGGTGGAAGCGTATAAAGGGAAAGGGATGATTGACAAAGAAGTGATAAGATGAGAGAATGCAGAGGTGGGAACAGCAGCGATGGAGAAGAGAACAGAGGAGCGGAGAGAACAGAAGAGGGGAAAGACCAGAGGAGAGGAAAGAACTGAGGAGAGGAGAGAACAGAGGAGGGAAGAGAACAGAGGAGGGAAGAGAACAGAGGAGGGAAGAGAACAGAGGAGGGAAGAGAACAGAGGAGGGAAGAGAACAGAGGAGGGCAGGGAACGGAGGCGAGGAGACAACAGAGGAGAGGAGAGAACAGAGGAGGGGAGAGAACAGAGAGAGGAGAGAACATAGGAGAGGAGAAATCAGAGGAGAGGAGAGAACCGAGGAGGGGAGAGAAAAGAGGAGAGGCGAGAACAGAGGAGAGGAGAGAACAGAGGAGAGGGGAGAACAGAGGAGAGGAGAGAGCAGATGAGAGGAGAGAACAGAGGAGAGGAGAGATCAGAGGAGAGAAGAGAACAGAGGAGAAGAGAGAACAGAGGAGGGGAGAGAACAGAGGAGAGAAAGAACAGACGAGGGGAGAGAACAGAGGAGGGGAGAGAACAGAGGAGAGGAGAGAACAGAGGAGAGGGGAGAACAGAGGAGAGGAGAGAAAAGAGGAGAGGAGAGAGCAGATGAGAGGAGAGAACAGAGGAGAGGAGAGAACAGAGGAGAGGAGAGAACAGAGGAGAAGAGAGAACAGAGGAGGGGAGAGAACAGAGGAGAGAAGAGAACAGACGAGGGGAGAGAACAGAGGAGGGGAGAGAACAGAGGAGAGGAGAGAACAGAGGAAAGGAGAGAACAGAGGAGAGAAAGAACAGAGGATAGGAGAGAACAGAGGAGAGGAGAGACAAGAGGAGAGGAGAGAACAGAGGAGGGGAGAGAACAGAGGAGGGGAGAGAACAGAGGCGAGGAGAGAACAGAGGAGAGGAGAGAACAGAGGAGAGGAGAGAACAGAGGAGGGGAGAGAACAGAGGCGAGGAGAGAACAGCGGAGAGGAGAGAACAGAGGAGAGGAGAGAACAGAGGAGAGGAGATAACAGAGGAGAGGACAGAACAGAGGAGAGGACAGAATAGAGGAGGGGAGAGAACTGAGGTGAGGAGAGAACAGCGGAGGGGAGAGCACAGAGGAGAGGAGAGAACAGAGGAGAGGAGAGAAAAGAGGATAAGAGAGAGCAGATGAGAGGAGAGAACAGAAGAGAGGAGAGAACAGAGGGGAAGAGAGAACAGAGGAGGGGAGAGAACAATGGAGAGGAGAGAACAGAGGAGAGGAGAAAATAGAGGAGAGGAGAGGAGAGAACAGAGGAGAGAAAGAACAGAGGAGAGGAGAGAACAGAGGAGAGGAGAGAACAGAGGAGAGGAGAGAACAGAGGAGAGGAGAGACAAGAGGAGAGGAGAGAACAGATGAGAGGAGAGAACAGAGGAGAGGAGAGAATAGAGGAGGGGAGAGAACAGAGGAGGGGAGAGAACAGAGGAGAGGCGAGAACATAGGAGAGGAGAGAACAGAGGAGAGGAGAGAACAGAGGAGAGGAGAGAAGAGAGGAGAGGAGAGAACAGAGGAGGGGAGAGAACAGAGGTGAGGAGAGAACAGAGGAGGGGAGAGCACAGAGGAGAGGAGAGAACAGAGGAGGGGATAGATCAGAGCAGAGGAGAGAACTGATGAGATGAGAGAACAGTGGAGAGTAGAGAACAGAGGAGGGGAGAGAACAGAGGAGAGCAGAGAACAGAGGAGAGGAGATAACAGAGGAGGGGAAATAACAGAGAGGAGAGATCAGAGGATGGGTGATAACCAAGGAGAGGAGAGGAGAGGACAGAGGAGAGGAGAGAAGAGAGGAGAGGAGAGAACAGAGGCGAGGAGAGAATAGAGGAAGGAAGATAAACAAGAACCAATTAGGGAAGAGAAAAACGAACAAACTCCCTTCAGGCACTCTGTCGTTTGCTACCCAACAACACATACTCCCATTCGTTGCCACCACCTGAAAA